CAAGCAAGGGCGGGGCACTCCTAATGGGCCACATGGCCCAACTTGGCCGAGCCAAGTGGCGGCTCTGTGGCACCCTCTAGAAATTCTGGGAGGCTCCGAAAACTTCTAGGGCCTTTTGGAGGGTTTCTAGGGTAACCCAAATTTTTTTGGTTCTCCGTTTTTTATCCCCCCCCCACATCGGTTCTCTCTTCGAAACACTTCCATTGATTTAGAAACTTTTCTGATGCAATTCTCATAAACTCACACCACTTCTATCACTCAACAGATCGATGACCCTTAAGCGTGTGACCCTGCAGGTTCGGTGAAATGAACCCATGACAAGGACCTATTCCGGTAAATGATCAATAGCGGGTTCTGGGCATCCATATTGACCCCTACATCTACATGAATCGTTATCGAGTGAACCTTTAGTTTCCCCACATCATTCCATTTGATTCGCGATACTTACAAAACCAGAGGTGAGACTATTGGCATTCGTGTGAAGCAACAACTTGATCACTATACCAACTTATCGGCATTTCCTTTTTTTCTTTACCGTATTTCGGCATCCTTGTGATCAAATCACGCTATGTCTAGCCATATGATGGTAGATACGGTAATACCGAGAGCACCCGAAGAATATATCTCCATCGTCAAAGGGAAGAATCCTAATCATTACCTATCAAGTCCCTTGACACACTTCTCCAATACAACCTAAAGTGTCTGTTATAATCACCCTATTACGGGTAATGCTTGATGAACCCCAACGTGCACCGTACAGTATGAAGGTACTTGATCCTCACATGGTCTAAGGAAGTGAGTATAAGTCAATATCTGCATGACACTACTATAATAACTTATGATGATGTGTTCTCGCAATATTATCGTTCGTTTGGGTCTGTACAACATCATTGTTCTGATAACGACGTGCCCTCATTGTTTCCGTCATCCTTGGTAATTTAGCAATGCCCTGTGATCAGGAAAACATGATAATCACGCAACACATGAGCTAGTCTTAAAGGCGAGACTAGCAACCTATTGTTGTGTTTATGTTTCCACACATGCTTATGAGTTTTTCTCTGAATCTCACATTTAAGAACCATATCAATTATAACATAGAAAATAAACATTAATTATAAGTGTGTAAATAAATAATCACATTTATTATTGACTCTAGGGCATATTTCCAACACTTGTGGCTTCCATTCTTTATAATGTTACTTTGCACATCCCTCTTCATTGTTTACATTTCATGATGCTACATGGATAGTCCTTTTGAAACCAACACATTTGTCCACAAAAAAATTCATTATGTGTTCACATGTTTTTTATGGATAGTCCTTTTCTAGGAATTAAGATTGACCACCGAAGCATTGGATACTTTTTGGAATGGGTGGCACTACGAAGCATGTCAAGCACATGGAAATGATAAGATGTCACCCTTCAACATGTTAAAGCATAATACATCAACCATATTGGTCAATATTTTTCATGGCTTCTCAAATTTCAAGAGTTTCTCGATTGAAACAGGAATATTGCTAAGGATTACGACATGACCACCATTCACCGACTCTAGAACCGAAGACAATGCATGGATGCATACACTTGGTGAATCTAATTGAGGGTATAAATAAATACCATGCCATATTGTTTTTATC